CGGAAGGCAAGGCAATTAGAGACCAGGAGAGTGAGAGTCGTGCATGCATGGTACTGTGAAGTTCATGGTAGGGTGGGCTAGATGAAGCTGTAATGATCATGGACACTCATCAGAACCCCAGAGAGTGGTCATCGGAGGATAAAGACTTATTCCTAGACTGGAAAACCACACTTACCAGTTGCTTTGAAAATATGAGTAAACCAGAGAGAATCTCCACTTGGGAAAGGGATGGAATGCATCCTGAGATCCTGTCCAATGGCACATGACCACAGTGCATGGACCAGTATTTTTATGCATATCAACTCTAGAGACTTTCTCCGAAATAAGGGTGATAATTTATTATTTGATTGATATTTGATTGCAAACTCAGCAGCCATGGGGCTGGTACTCTTTATCATGTGTCAGGGAGTCAGAGCCCATTCTATTAAAATGGCATTCAAAAGTCTTTTGTCATTTTGTTGTTGTTGTTGTCATTTGTCAAACTCTAAGAGAGGTGTAGATTTTAGATGATGGTGGAATTAATGAAGATAGGGGAGGTTGGTATGAAAGGGCAACTAAATGGGAAGACAAACTTAGACATTGAAACAAATTCTAGAAGTCTCAGTTGTATTCAGTTGTAAAACAATCCGACTGAAAATATGATTTAATGAGAGGAAACTTACGCATTTTTTAAAAATCAAAAGCATTTTGGCCTGATTTGGTATTCTGTGACGTAGAGAACCACACATCCTCAGATATCTACTGGACTGTTTTTCCTTTACTTTGAATGGTATTTTCTCAGGGCTCAATCATATTAATCATGGACATAACAGACACTGTGCAAAACTGAAAGCACTCCACACACCGCGCCACATGCTTTAGATGCATAAACAACAAACCAAGAGCCCTGCAATACAAGACTTAACAAACCACCTTCTTAAACGCTGAACTTGGGGCTCACAGAGTTTGTTTATGTACCTGAGATTGCACAGTGAATACGTGACAGTGCTGGGACTAGACCTCTTGTTCTAGAATAGTCCGGAGCTCACACCGGTGCACTCCTTCCAGCAGACCACGAGACAATTAATTTACCTAGGTCTACCACTCCAAAATGTATCTCAAGTGACAAAAAGTATGACCCTCGGAACAAACAACTGGATTGATCTCCCTAAGCACGCAATAAGAATAACCAAATCTGAGATATGAATGAAGGAGAGAAGAAATCAGTTTCAGTAACAATTTGATCATCCACATATGCAGTATCAGAAACCCACAAAAGATTGGTCGGGGCTCACAAACTCCGGCTCTAACCTTCTAGGTAGAAAGTGGATCCTTAAGGTTTTCCCTAAATCTGGCTTGTGGCGAGAAAGAAAATATTACCGTTCTTTTCCGTGACAGCACAACATGTTTCCTGAGCTCTGACTGGAGCTGCACTTTAGTAATTGTACATCACTCATGAAAAGTGGGCCCATTTTCTGCAAATTTGCATTAGAGAAACAGCTCATATGTTTGCAAGGAATGTCATTTCCCAGGAAGATCTTTAATGCACAGACAGGAGCCAAGTGGAAGACTCCCTTGACTGAGGGATGAGGAAACAATCATCTGAGATTAGAAGGATCAACCAAAAACCTAAGGAGTGTTAAGTCAGTTCGGTAGAAGGAGTCCAGGACTCCGACGGGGTGAAGATCGTATATAGGGTAGACTAGAAGGAAGCAGGCAGAACACTAAGGTCCTAGAGTCGCACCACCGTTTTCTGCCCTTGGGTGTGCCAAAGCTTCATGATCATATAATGATCACCCCGATTTCCACCTTGGAATTCTCAAGAAAGTGGGACATTAAAGTAAGATGAGCGAAGTCAGAAAAACAAAAACTGAAGTTTCAAGACTGGTCTGAATCTGTGACAGTAAAGACCCTGAAGTGGACTAAAGGCAGCAGCCACAGCACGAAAAGAGGTCTCACAAAATCTCCTCTGCTGCCATCCCACAGAAGCGCCTGGCAGAGATGTCAGGCTGATTTGAGCTTGACAGTCTCAGGGACATAAGGGCCTGCGAGTAATGTGTGCAGTCTATGTCTGGCAGAGGGAACGACTGGGTCTCTAACAGGAATGCATCTATGTGAGTGTCCTGAGTGTTAGGAGGGGACACGCCAAACAACAGAGTAACACACAAAAAGCAGAGGGGCCACTAAGAGTCCAGGACTTTCCTTAGCCCTGGGAAAATCCAGAGGCGCTACCCCTGAGGAGTCCACGTATTCCACGTGGGTCGTCTCAGGGGGAGAAAGGGCCTTGCCTGGGGGGTGTACGCCCAGCTCTCCAAAGACAGGAGTCTTGCATTTAACCAAGGCAAGGCAAGGACACTCGAACTCAGTGCTAAAGAAGAGGATTTCCCCGACAAAGCGGGAGCATCACGGCGCCCCGCCCCTCTCGTAAGGCCTGTAGGCCCAGGGCACCCAACAGAAGCTGTCCGCCCCAACTGCCACACTGGGACTCAGAAAAGAGAGCCCTTGGTTTGCCACCAGGATGACCCGGGTGACTAGCGGGACGAGCCCAGGCTCTGAAGACACAGAAATTCGGACCCTGAGTAAAGACCGAGGACCCACTGCCTCCTAGGCAACAGGGTCCCGCGAAGTCCCACGTGGTTCTCAGTTCTCAGGCACCGCGGACAGCCCTGCCGGATGGGACCCACCTACTTCCGCTTGGGGTGGGTCCTTTCCTGGTGCCTTTACAGGAGCTTTCCTGCCGAGAGCGGATTTTCTGGTCGGGCCTCGAGTCAAGGTGAGGACCGTGTGTGGGACCTGAAGAAGCCACAGCCCTAACAGAGCGAAGGTGGGTCCCCCTCCCTCCGTACCTCCCTTACCATCGGGCCTTGAGAGGCCCCAGCAGAGCCATGGGACTGATTTCGGCCTCGAACGTGTTAGCCAAAAGGCCTTCCTTACTCTGCGGGAGTAGCCCCGTTCAGCAGACGGACGACACGCAGGCCCGAGCTGCCTTCAAGATGAGGGCCTGAGCGCTTAAGAGCCGAGCTCAGTGCACAAAACAGAGGCCGCAAAGACTGACACCCCATCCTTCGTATCTAGGAGCCACCAGGCAGGGGAGACAGAGACAAAGCGAGGTATCATCCCCTCTAGCGGTAACTAAGGGAGGCGAGGGCTTCACCCGCAGACTCCCAAACACAGCAAGGGCGGCCCGGGCTGAGGAGGCAGTTTGAGCTGGGCCCTCCTTTCCTCTGAGGTGGTCTTAGGGTGGTGAGGTCCTTGATTTAGAGGAGGAAGCCTACTTCAGAAAAGGGGAGCCGCTTACTTGTTACGGGGATTCTAGGTTGTGACAGTGAGGAGGATGGGGGACCCTGTCCAGAAAGTGGGGGCCACCTGAAGTCTCAGCCTTCTTTTCGGCTCTGGGAGATGGGGCATGTCGCCAGGAGGAGTTGCACTCACCTCTCCAGGGCATCTCAGGGAGGAGACACATCCGGTGAATGGGGTAACCTCCCGTCATGGGTGGCAGGATTTCATATAATGCCAGGCAGAGCAGAGAGACCATGGCGGCCTGTGGAGATGGGCCGTCCCATGCTGGTGGGGACACAAAGTAGTTTGCCGTGTATATGGCACACTTTCTCGCCCAAATTTTTAAGGGAAAAATAAGGATGCGCATTATACATGGGTAGTACTATTTCCATACTTACATAAATGTTTTTAATTCTTTTATTTATGCTTATGCATTAAAAGTGTAACTCTAGAGAGCAATACGATATCCGTGTGCAAAATAAGACCGTGGAATACGATAATCAGTTTTGTTTCCATGTAAATAAATGAAAAAATTGAATTCAAAGCCTTTTTTTTCCCTGAAACTTGGGGCAAGAATGTGGGTGTGCATTGTACGCTTCAGTGCATCATGCACGGCAAAATATGGTATCCTCCTTATATCTGTGCTGAACGACCTCAAGGATGGATTGCAGGTTAAAGCACCCACGTGTCAGCCCTTTAGGGAAACAGGGAAGTGAGAAGAGTGGTCCCAGATTAGCAGAGAGAGAAATTACGACTCCCGCAGGAGTCAAGTTTAGGCCTTCCACTGCGATTCTGTTAGGAACCAAGTACCATAAGACCTTCACCTCGTGCAGCAGCCCCCACTGTTGGGCGACGTGTTTTGAGCACGTAAGGCCATCTTTGTATCTTCTTCCTCGGTCTCAGGGAGGTTGGATCCTACCATGAGCAGTTCATTGCCAGGAGCCCACTTGAGGAATATGAGAGAAGGGTCTGCAACCAACAACAACTGAATTAGGGGACATCAAAGCATCCATCGCAGTCATTAGTTTTCAGTCCAGGATACCTCAGAGATGAGCGGTCAGGTTGAGCTTCTCCTGCATTTCTTCATATCAGGTCAAAAGGAGGTGAGATCCTTAGGCTCTAGGTCCAGCCACCAGTTAAAGAAAGGGGAGAGGTGCCAGGCCTCACAAGGAGTCAAGGCGAGGAGCTTGACTGACAACCGTTGATACAGATGAACTCAGGAAACAAAGGACCTAACCAAACTCTCAGCATTGGTGTCCCCTGGTACGCTGGTGAACCGAGGCTCCCCACCAGTTCCTTCTCCTGGGTCCCAGTGAGTGTTGAGGTGTCACCTTCCGAGTAGTAGGGAGGAAGGTGCTTAGGCTTTGCCCACAGTTGACATGATAATACAGAAGATGAACTGAGAGGACCCCACATGCCAGAACAAACGGGGATACACTGACATCACGTGCTGTCATTTAAGTAAAGCAAGGCATGGCAGGGAGGATGCCGCATGAGACCTTCTCTAAAGGTTCAGTGGTTCCTCTGTGGGATCCTTAGCAGACAGACTGATGTGAGGAACAGGAGCCTTGTGGGTTTCTAGAGCAGCGCCCTCAGGGAAGCCTACAGAGGCAGCCTTCAGTAGAGCCAGCTGGAATCTACCTGTTGCGGGTGCTTAAACCCTCTCATTCTCCATCCACCAGGTGCCCACATCACCGTTCGTTGGCCCACACTCCGGTTGGCCGTCCCGAACAACAGCCGTCATGCCTCGTGGTCACAAGAGTAAGCTCCGTGCTCGTGAGAAACGCCGCCAACACAGAGCTGAGGCCCAAAGTCCTAAGAGTGCCCAGGCCATTGCGGGAGAGGAAGGAGAGGCTCCTTGCTCCTCCTCTTCTCTTCTGGGTGACCCTCCCTCGAGTGCCACTGGTGCTGGCCCTCTCCAGGCACCTTCGAGTGCCCCAGCCACCACCAGTGTTGCGGCAGGTGTTTCATGTGAGAGAGCAGCTGGAAAGGCCAAAGGCTGTGCTCGGAAAAGTAAAAATCCCTCCCGGGCTTCGCCTCCCCCTGAGAGCTGTGGCCTAGATATACTTACTCAAAAGGCGTGTAAGTTGGTAGAGTACCTGCTGTGTCAGTATCAACTGAAGGAGCCCATTAAAAAGGCAGACATGCTGAAGATTGTCCGCAAATGGTACAGGAAGGACTTTTCTGAGATTGTGAGCAAAGCCTCTGAGCACATGGATCTGGTCCATGGTCTAGAATTGAAAGAAGTCAAGCCCAGTGGAAACTCCTACACCCTTGTCGACAGCAGCGATGAAAGTCTGAGCAGAGTTTGGAGATTTCCTATAAGAGGGATTCTGATGCCTCTCCTGGGAGTGATCTTCTTGAACGGCAACCGTGCCTCTGAGGAGGAGATGTGGGAGTTCCTGAATATGATGGGCATCTATGATGGAATGTATCACTTCATTTTTGGGGAGCCCAGGCAGCTTATCACCCAAGAATTGGTTCAGGAGCAATACCTGGTGTACCGGCGTGTGCCCGACACTGATTCTCTATGCTACGAGTTCCTGTGGGGTCCAAGAACCCATGCCGAAACCAGCAAAATGAAAATCCTGGAGTTCATAGCCAAGCTGAATGAGAAAGCCATCACTGACTTCCCGCATCATTATGAAGAGGCTTTGCGAGATGAGGAAGAGAGATCTCAAGCCAGAGCCCAAGCCGAAGCCGGAGCTGGATGTCATTCCGAGGCCAGCGGTCACCTCACAGCCACATCCTGCTGCTACCCGCACTCTGAGTGACGTTGAGATGCAGTCTTCTATTTTGTTTGGAAAGGCCTGTTAAGCAGTTTCCTAATGTGCAAAAATACCTTGTTAGCTACCTTTGTGGGGGTAATTTGCATTTTCGAATGGTGTGCTTTTAGACTGAATGTTTCTTTAGATTCAGAATGTAGGTTTATAAATGAGATGGATCACACACTTATTGCCATATACCAGGTTAGCAGTATGTGTTTTGTTTTTGAAATTCAAATTGGGAATCCTTCCATTACTTTTGTGATCTAGAACAAATAACATGGCTTTAGGGTAAGAAATCTTGAACGATGTGAAAGAAGTTTACACTAACATAATAGGCAATAGCAGATGTATAGAACGATGGATAAAGTAAAAGGTGGCCGCTTGTTATCCATTTTTTTTCAATTACAGTTGATGGAAAATATTTTAGATTAAGGTGTACAATATAGTAAATATTTATATATCTTACAAAGTGTTCACTCCCATGGGTCTCCAACCCATTGGAACCCTATGTGGTTATTATAATAGTATTTACTATGCAACCTAAGCTGTACCCTGCTGGTCTGTTACAGCCAAGACAGGGACACAAACTATGTGTCCCATGTGTAGACAAATGTATAAAAAGATGTGGTACATAAATATAATTCGTTATTTCATGCTTGCCTAACTGCAATTAGCCATTTGTTGTATAAATTGTAGAGATGTGTATCTGGATTTGCTTACATTTTTGAAGAATGTTTGATACTATAAATGATAGTGAATCAGACCTCTTGGTTCATGGCTTTTATTTGACACAGTCATTAATGCAGCATCAGTTGTTTGGAAGTCATCATGCTTTCACTGGGGATGTTTAGGCAAAAAAGACCCTTCCCCTGTTCACACAATTAGGAATTGTAAGACAAGCTATCATTACCAAAGAGGGGGAAGTTCTCTCTACTTCATAAAGAACAAGTGAAAATGAAAGTAAAGAGGGGTAGGGAGGTAGCAGAGTATTTAGCTTTCATTGCTAAGCAGAGTTTTGTCCCATTGGGAAGTCAATGGGTGATCAGGGCCACATCCTGTCACTTCTGTCCCCCTGAATGAGGTCTGAGGTGGAGTTTTCCCATTGTGGTTGGAAGTGCCTGTTGACCAGTATTCCTGATGTTCATGGATATTTCATCACCTTCTGTTTTAAGTTAATTCTCAAGTGGTGTTTTATCATCAGAGAGTCTATTTAGGTTCTGAATATAAATATATGAATGGCAGGGATCACACCTTTATTGTTGTGTACCAGGTTTAAGAGTGGGAGTTTTGGGTTTTGAAATACACATTGAAAATCCTGAACTCACGTTTATGATCCTGAAGAACACAGCGTGGCAATATTGGGGGATGTCCTTGGGAATGGGAAAAATTTAATACTAAAAAAGATGGAATCAGAACATGGGGGGGAAACGTAAAAGTTGGTCAATTATGGATTTGCCTTACTCCAGTGTTTCTTTTCCTAATTTAAAATTCATATATCTGGCCTTACCTGTTGTGGCTCTGGGTTGAGCACCAGCCTGCAAACCAAAGGATCGCCAGTTCAATTCCCAGTGTAGGGCACATGCCTGAGTTGCAGGCCAGGTCCCCAGCAGGAGGCATGCAAAATGCAACTACGCATTGACGTTTCTCTCCCCTTCTTTCCCCCTCTCTTCTCTCTAAGAAATAAGATCTTTAAAAAAAATTCATATACCTGGATGTCCTTAGATTATTTAAGAGTGAATGAGTTGAGGGGAATATAAATTGGTAATTCACTGTGGAAGACAGTATAAAGATTCCTCAAAATGTTAAAAATTCAACTACCACATACCCAACATTTCCAATATTGAGTATTTATATAAAGAAAATGAAGGTATATATGTTATGAGATATCTGTACTCTCATGGCCATTCTAACATTAATTACAGTTGCCAAGACGTAGGAACAACTTACGTGCCCATTGGTGAATAAATGGCTAAAGGAAATGTCTTGTATCTATACCCACACACGCACACAGAAGGGTATCTCAGCCACACACAAGGAAGAAATACCCCTATTTGTGACAATGTATGAAGAACTTGAGGACAGTATGCCAAGTGAGGTAAGTGGTAATTTTCAAGGCGTGTTCTGTTAAAAGAAACTTTTCAACAGGCAGGGAGAGACAAATACTGTATGGTATCATGCATATGTGGAATCTACAATACACAAACACACGCAAGTGAATTCATACACAGAGAACAGATGGGTGGTTGCCAGAGGCAGGGAGTGTGGTGTGGAAGGTGGGCACAAGGGTTAAGGTGGCCCAAAACTACACACTTCCAGTTACAAAATAGGTAGGTAATGGCATGTCATGTACAGGAAGAACAGTAATAGTTAATACTGTATTACATATGTTAAAGTGTTCAAGAGACATCTTAAAAGTCCTAACTACACGAGGGAAAAATAGTCTGCAAAATTTTTTACTTGTATATTTGTAAACTTCATAAGTTACAGCCAATTTAACAGATTCAAACCACTGACATTTAATATCTCTCAGAATCATAGGCCAGAATTACAGGCACAGAGAGGCGGGGATCAGTAGGTCAGAAATGTCCCAGTGCTGCAATCAATGTATCAGGTAGCAGTGTTCTCCTATGGAGCTCTGGAACTCCTTCCAGTACCATGCATGTTTCAGGCAGATTCACTTAGGAGAAATTGAAATACCGAGAAGCCCATTTGTCTGCATGCTCTTGGCTAGGGATCATTCTCAGGACATTCTTAGCTCTTTGCATGCTCTGCAGATCCTTCCATGTTCAAAGCCAGCAAGGAGAGCCTCTCTCTCACCCTTTGGATTTCTCTCACCAGGAAAAGCCCCATCCCACTAAAGGATTAACCCCATTAGATCTGGCCCTTGGAGGATAACCTCCCGATTTTAAGAATACTAAGTATTTTTAGGGCAGTGAAACTATTCTCTTTGACACTGTAATAATGGATATATGCTATTGCACATCTTGTCAAAACTCATATAATGTACCATACCAAGAGCGAACCTTAATGTAAACTATGGGTTCTGGGTGAAGGTACCTCAGTACAAGCTCATCAACTACCACAAATACACCACTCTGATAAGGGATATTGATAGTGCTGGAGAATGTGCATGTGGGGAGACAGGGACAATATGGAAAACCTCTGTACCTTCTGCCCAGTTTTGCTGTAAATGTAAAACTGCTCTAAAAGTAAAATCTATTTTTTTAAAAAAGATCATTACTAATGATAAAGGGTCAATTTACAGGGAAGACATAACAATGCTAAATGTATATATACTTGACAGAATTTCAAAATACATAAAGACTGCTGGTGTTGAAAAAGTAAACAGGAAAATTCACAATTATAAAAAAAATACTAGTTTTTGGACCTCCATTACATCTGCTAACTCCCTCATAGCACCACCTACATTCCTGTTTCATTAAATAACTGGAAGAAGATGAATGTCACCAGGAGTCAGGAGTCCGATAGGCCCTCTTAGAGTTCTGACTGCCAGTGACCTCGGGGTATTGTGGTTATGTTTGTAATTAACAGTGTTACCCTCTGAAGGTCCATAATAGGATACATAGTGCTAGTGATGCTTGCATCAAAACAACCTGAGGTCCGAGGGTGGATATGGATGAGACGAGCCGAGCTATGTGGTGACTTTGCTGACGGTGGGCAATGAGTGTGTGGAGCACTGACTACATTACTCTCTTACTCCATCAAATGTATAAATTTCATCTCACAAATTAATCCAGAAAATGAAAACGGGCACAAAACTTCAAAAAATATTTTATGAAACAAGTTCTACAACGTTTAGACCAGGTAAATATAGCTCAAAATTTCTAAATTTGTTATTATTCTACTTAAAAATGTCACTTATTTCCAATATTACCTAAGAACATAGATGCAAAAATTGTCAAAATTTGACATGAGGAATTTGACAATGTATAAAAAAAATGTTGCATATACTTGTAACCCAGTCATTTCACATTTTCTGGGTTTGAAATAATCCTAATTAATCAAGGACATAATAGACATTGTGCAAAATCACAGTGCATTCCGGACACTGTGCCACATACTTTACATACATTGACCACAATACATAGTCTCTAAAAGACAGGGCTTAACAAACCCCCTCACAAATGCATTGCCTGGGGCTCACAGAGTTTGCTAATGTACCTGAGATCACACAGCTAATAAGGGACAGGGCTGGCACTACACCCCCTGAAATGGATTTGTCCAGAGCTCACACTAGAGCACTCCTTCCAGCTGCCCACAAGTCAGTTAATTCACTTACATCTGCTACACCATAGGGTATCTCAAGTGACACAATAGAGAGCCTTGAGACCAAATCACTGAATTGGATTCCAAAACAAGACCAATAAGGATACCATAATAAACATAAGAAAAGAGTAATGGAGAGAAGATGTTGTTAATGACAATATGCTCATCCAAATATTTAAGAAAGGATACTCTGAAAAGAACAACTGGGGCCTGATTAGTGTGGTTCAGTGGGTTGCACATGGTCCTACAAACCAAACAGTTGCTTGTTTGATTTCTGGTCATGGCACATGCCTGGATTGCAGGCCAAGACCTCAGTAGGGAGCTTGCAATGGGCATGCAAAGAAGTGTTCTCACACATCGATGTTTCTCTCTCCCTTTTTCTATGTTAGTTCCCCTTTTCTAAAAATAAATAAATAAAATCTTCCAAAGAAATAAAAAAAAGATCAACCAGGACTTCCACACACCAGTCTCCGTCAATCAAAGTTTGCTTCTCCTCTTCTTTACTGGGGGATGCTCCCTCGAGCTCCATGGGTGCTGACCCTCTCCAGGTGCCTCTAGACACCACCGTGCCGCTGCAGGGGTTTCATGGGAAAGACCTGCTGGGAAAGCTGAAGGCCATGTTCAGAAACGGGAAAATGCTTCTGGGGACTCAACTTCCAAAACAGCTCTGGCCTAAATATTCTATCTTAGAAGGCAAAGAAGAAGGTAGAGAATCGTCT